CTTAATAAATTTTGATCTTCTAGCTTGATTTCTTGGCTTGATTAGTTGATTTGAAGTATTTGGAGGTGATTTAAGTGGATTTTGGTTGGAAATTCTTAAGAAAATGTTACAAGAGTTCCATTTGGTTTTAGCTAATTTTCATGCATTTTCTTTAATTTCTTGCACCATTGTTTATAGCCAAATTCTTGGTGGACTTTTAACCTCGTCTCCACCATTGAATTGCTATGTTTTGGAGTAATCCTAGCCCTTGAATTAACTTTTAATCTTAGCCCTTCAAATGGATAAGTTTTAGACTTTAACCTTTCTTTAAGTTTTAGCCTTCCATCTTGCATCCTTTTAGCCTTTCCTTTTTAAGTGAGTCAAAGCTCATTAATTAACCCCTATTCATAAAACAAAAATTTGGTTGGAAGGGTGGAAAAGTTTCCAAAAGTTTGCTTAATTTTAGTCCCTCATTTTACTAATCTTTTCTCTAATTACTCATCTAATCATCCTTTGATTTTTCAATTGACTACTTTAGGTCCTTCTCTTAAAGGTATCTTAAAAACTTTTAAACTCCTTAGGTTCGTAGATAATTTAATTTAGAAGTTCAAACTTTTAATTTTATACAATTAGGTCCCTAATTTCTATGCAATTAAGTTCCTAATTCTAAAATTTTATTCTATATGTTTCCAAAATTGAATTTCTCTTCATAATAAATTCATAATTTATTAAAAGAATTTAATCATGATTTACATAATTTTTATATTTATTTTATACTCCTACACATCCTAAATGATTTTTCTATATTCTTTAAAAATTTTTCTCATTCTTTTTAAGCTCCTAGTTTAATTATTCTACCTTAAAAACACTATTCTTACACATAAAAATTCAAGTAAAATATTCACAACATATAAAAAAATTCACACAATCAAACAGAATAATTCAAAACCCCTCTAACAAATATTCTAAGCTAATAAAATATTTTTCATGCACATGCAACTTGCTCTAAATGCTTATTTCATGCAAACATTACTATTCATGCATCGTAAAAATTAATAAAATATTTAATAAGCATAGAAGGACTATTTTAACTACTCTAAATATTCTTTCAAGTCTTTAAGGATTATTTTACACGTTTAAAACATTTCTCAAAATGTGTTTAGTATTAAATCTTTATTTAATTTTAGTTTTAGCGAGCATCGGTTATTACAAAATTTCCATGTTGATGGCAAAAGAAACATGCTCCTATCCTCCGAGAGCATATACCCGGATGGGTCTTACCACATATTTAACAAATAGAGTACCCCCTTCTAGAACCCCGATGAACCGAGTGAGATGATTCCTAACTCATGCTTATATGTGATCCACTATGACTACTCTATCTAGAAAATCTCTTCTATGGGCTAGAATAACTCTACATACTAATATTTTAGCTAAATCCACTACCACGACCTTTATGCCCACCGGATGATGAGGCATCACTTTTGGCCTTCTTCTTTTGCTCTTTAGTTGATCTACTCTCCATCCTCCTCATCTCAAGTTTATGAGCACAATAAACCATTTCGAATAACTTTGAAACCTTTAGGAAAATATCGTTGTAAATAGTAGATCTACTAGCCCATTCATAAACCCTTTTTACTCTTTTTTTCCTCGCTTAATATTATTTTTGAGGCATAACGACTTAGTTTTGCAAACTTCCTCTCATACTCGTCATCGTCATGTCGAAGTTTGCATTTGCCTCTCAAACTCCTTTACCCTTTCTTTCCCGACACTCTCAAGTAGTTGGTCATCTAGAAAAGCTTCCTTAAATTGCTCTTAATACCAATTAAGTTTCTTGTCCCATTTACACCAATATTGGTGTTCCATTCAAGCATAAACACTACCAAGTTAAACCTTTCTCTCATCGGGATATCAAAGTATAATTAGCCTCTTTTCTATCTCATCTATAAAATACATTGGATCTTCACCATCCCTATCACTAGAATAGGTTAGTGACTTTAATTTTAAAAATCCTCGCCAACCTCGATTGGGTGCTAGCTGCGAAGTACCTACTTTACCTAATCCCTAATTAACAAACATTATTCTTATCATAGCTTAAAAAGTTTACTACATACCCTTAGCCATCATCTTTATCATATGTTGCATAAGCACAAAACTAGCCATGTCATCACTCGGTATCATCATATCAAATTCTACTTCTTTCCTAACTCTCGATCCGTCACAAGACCGCAAAGGTTTGGATGATGCCTTAGCCTCAACACCTCCTTTATGATCACCCGATCTAGTCGTCACCATAGTAGCCTATATGAAACATAATTTAAATTTAACACATTTCGAGTAGAAATAAATTCAATAGGGCAAAATAATTAATGCATAGCTCATATAATTTTTGTTCCCTTTTTCATTAGGCTTACTAGTACTTAAAGACAAAGTAACGATGTTGGCTTCATAAGAAGAATGACAATCAAAATGAGTAAACCCAAGCCAAGGAGCATATAAATCCAAACACACGAAGGATCGAACGAAAACAACATGAAAAGCCAGTTTAAAGAAATGAGGCACATGGGCGTAAGGGGTAAATATGGCTTGAAGAGTAAATTTGATACACCTATATGTGTATTTAGCAAAAAAAGACACACAAGCAAGTAGGGGTAAAATTGACACACTCGTGCCTCACTAATAAGGTTGTCATCTAAAGAAAGAAGAAAAACCACACGAGCAAGTAGTCGAAAGACACGAGATGAAGGGCAAAAATGACACGATCGTTTATTACCATAGAGTTGTTTAATGAAGAAAGACAAGCCATATGGGTAGTAGGTAAGAGATACAAGATGAAGAGAAAAATTGACACGACCATATGTCAATAAGCAAACCATGTGAGGAAACCGTATATGATAAAACCCTTCATTTGCATGCGATGTAAGGCTATGAACACTCAAAGATCACAATCCTCATAACAAGTTTTTCGTATGTTACCCAACATATAGGCTAGCATTATACCTCTTTTGTTAACCGTAGCCTTATATCATTGAGATCAAAGGCTACGCCCTCGTAGCCGAGTACCTCAAAGTAACAAAATTGTATCGAAAATCATATAAGTTTATACATATTTTAAAACACTCAAATCCATTATATCAAACACAATGCATGCTCAAAATCGTATTGATAGCATAATTCAATATCAAATAAACATTAACCAAGAATTATATGAGTAATCAAAATAATAGTCTAAAGTAAATTAGCATTTAAATTTGTAATTTCATATCAAACTATAAACAAAACACTTGTTCAAACATATGTTCAAATCCTTTTTAAATTCATATCAAATCACTTTCAATATGAAATTGTTTCAAACACACAAGGGTCCTTTACCACCTAAGTTCTAATGAACATGCTTAAATCATATATAAATCAATGATCCATGCGAAATATCAAAAGAATTTAAAAGCATAATATGCTATATAATATCCACTCACGAAGTGCAAAACAAATGATCGAATAGAATCAAAGTTGTTTAAATGGAGTCGCTCGCTTCGAAGAATTTAATAACACAAGATGGTGGAATAACCATTAATATCATATATCAAAAAATAATTAAAAACAAATGAATTATTCTAGAATTAGGAATACATGATTATCTATAAAATTGGAATTAATCGAAAGACTCAAACTAATAACTTTAACTAAATTATATAATCTCTCCAATAATTCTAAACAATGCCTAACAATAGTTCATCATCAATCCCCAATTCAATCAACCTTTATATATACAATCTTTTCTCAAATTCAATTCAAATCTTTAAATAATCAATTTTTCAATTAAATCATTAATTTGATTTTAATTCACTCAATACTAATTTTATTCCTCTTTAATTGCATTTATATAACTTAATTCTTTATTTTCCTTAAATTCTTTTCAATTCAAAACCCAATTTCAGATTTTTCACTATTTATCATCTTCAACCTCTCAATTAATCAAATTTACTTATAGAACTTCAATTCGACCTCATAAACCACTTACCCAAGAAAATTAAATATCATTTAATCAATTAGAATCACTTAGTCAACTTTTTTTCCCAAATGAGTCTAAAAACCCTAACATTAATCTAACTCAATTCTTCATCAAAACAACAAGTCCAATACAATCTAACTTCAAATTCATCAAATACACATATAAATGCCTTCATTAAATGATCAAATGATTGAAATCCTTACCTTTTACAATTGGTTCTTCAACCCAAACTCAATCTTAACTCTCCAAATTTTCCAAGCTTCAATCCAACTACACTCTATTTAATCAACTTGTTCTTAGTTTTTCTATACTAATTTAACAAGGTCTTAGCTTAGGATTTGAAAAAGGGAGAAGAGAGAAAATTAGAGACGAAGTTGCATGAGAACGAGAGGGAAAAAGAAAGAAAAATAGAGAGGGACAACAGCTTGTCCCCTTTTATACCCAACTCAAATTATTATTATTATTATTATTATTAACTAATTTCTAACTTAAATATTATTTTAGGGTGGGTTGTTACATAATAAAAGAAATGTGATCCTATTATGCCATGTGTATTGATGATTAAAAAAAAAACTTAAGGAAGTGAAATGATAAATTAGCCCCATTCCTAAATTAAAAGGAAAACACACAAAATTCCTAATCCTTAAAATCATTTCATTAAACTCAATTGAATTATGAAATCCCTAACTTCTAAGGAGTTAAAACATGATTATTTTTTTATGCATACCTCTCTTTTCTTCCATTCACCTTTGAATTTCTTCCAAAACTCTAATCTTCATCTCAAAAACCTTACAACAACAATACCTCTCTTCACAAATATTAAACTTCTTAAAACCTCACTATGTTTACTAGAGTACCTTCTAGTTTATCAAGAACCCCTTCTCTACTTCCCTCTTTTTGACCCAAGACCAAACCTCTTTGATGTCATTTCTTCTCCTTTTAAGCCTTTTGACAATGTTTTTGGTTTAGCTCACTTTGAGAGAAAAAACTCATTTTTGTCTTGTTTTAGGGTGATTAGGTTCACTTATAGCAAGTTGTTGGCCGAGATTAAAAGAGAGAAACATGACAAAGGACAAAGACACGAAGAAGTCTTGATCAAGATCAAACAACCAAAATGCGGTGCCATAGTCCGTACAAAAGACCATAAGAAGAAGGCCACACGTCTTGTGGAGATCGAAGAGCCATCGGATCAAAGTGCCATCTATCTACGACAAGTCTGGTCACTCATGATTAACCATTACCACTTCTAGCAAATTTTAAGAGAAATAACATAATTTTGAGTTGAAAGCAGTGAAAATTAAATAAAATTTCCTTTAATAAGTTTGAAGCTTGGTGTTTATTATGTTTGTTCATGATGAGAAGTTTGCTTAAAATGTATTTGATAAAATGTCTAAGTGAGACTTTTTCAATGTAAATGTGGTACGCTATCATGTGGCTATGATTTCATCTTTATCTCGGTTGCTTAAAGTTAGTTTGGGTTTTTCGATTATTTTACCCTCGTGTGCTTGTCATGTGTCATAGAATATTAGTCAATGAAAAAGTTGGATTTGATTGTTGACCAAAAAAATAATTTAGTACTCAAATTGAAAAAATTAAAAATTGAGTAACGAGTCTCTATTTTACCGAAAACTCATGATGTTTTTCAATCAATTGATCTCGTTTATTAATTTAAAAATCAATACGTAGATATCTTAAATATATTAATACTAAAATGTTAACATATCATGCATCGATACAATAGCATTATGGTACGAAAAAAATATGCGACAAGCAATCGTTGACATTTTTAACGTTTAGATAGGTTTAATGGCAAAAATTATCTTTATTCTATTATAATTTGATAATTTCGTGTCCTTATTACCAATTTGAGTAATCCGAATCCCAAAATATCAATTTTTTAACAAATCTTATCTAAATCGTTAATTGTAACGATTAACCCGATTAAACATTATTATTATTATTTTGCTGTTTTTTAACAATATTATAAATGTTTTTCCTTCATGTTTCAAGACAGATTCTTTCTATTTAAAATTTTCATACATTAATCGCTCCGATTTTTCATAGTCAATCAAATTGTTATTTATATAATTTTTTTCAATTTTAAAAAATAACTTTTATATAATATCATTATCCATTAAAAAATCAACTTCTATAATTAATAAAATATAAATATCTATTGGTTAAATTTGGTTAATTAAAATTATTAAATCATTAATTTATTGAAACTTTTTTTTATGCTAATAAATGTATTCTTGTGATTGTCAATTATTAAATTTTAAATATAATTGTATTTATTTAATATTTTTTTTATCTTTACATGTTTTATGATTTTTTCTCACAATTGATTCAAATATATAATATGCATTTAAAATTGTTAGAGTTAGAAAACCTTGTTTTTTAATTTTCTAATTTTATTTTATTTTTCAAAATAGGTTAGAAAATGAAAGCTCCTTTTTGGAAGAAAAAAAAGTTTAGTGATAAATTTAATGAATTTTTTATTTATAGGTATATGGGTGGGAAAAAAATATTTCTTGAAAAATGAAGGAAAAACATTTTTAATATTTTTTTTAAATTAATAGCAAAAAAAGATAACGGTAAAAAAATTAATAATCAATTAGATTGATCGTTATAATAAATATATTTGGATAAAATTTACTTAAAAACTGATATTTAGATTGAGATTTATAGTATATAAATTAATAATAAAGATATGAAATTATGAAATTGTAATAGAAGGAAGGTAATCTTTGACTTAAAATCCATCTAGATGAAAGCGGAAATATGTTGCCGCATTGAAGATAAAAACCCTTTCCTTAAGAAAACAGCAACAGCATAGATTATTTATTATAAACACCTATTAATCGCTTGTTTTCCAAATTAGGCCAAAATTCAATTTCATCTGTGAACTGATGCCAGCAGTGGCGCAAACTTTACTCATAGAAACGTTGACTTCTCTCGAATCAAGAAATAACAGTGTTAATAGATCAAGTCACTGGTTCACTGCTCTTGCAAATAAATCCATGATACCAGATTTTTCTGTAGAACCATTTATGTAAATAAGTGCTAGAATATATAAGCCCTGAAGGGAAGGGAAGGGAAAAGCAGGGTTCATCCTAAATCATCTAGAACATAAACAAAAAAGAAGAGAAAGGAAAGTTGCCACCAATCTCTACAGTAATGGCAATCCTTAACTCACTCTCAACCCTCTACTCTCCAAAACTCACTCCCTCCTCTTCCCCACTCTCTTCAATTCCATTTCCTCTTTCCATCTCCCATTCCAAATCTCTCTCTTTCAATCTCAACTTCAAAACCGTCGCCGTATCGGCCACTCCTTCTTGCTTTTCCGACGTCGTTGGTGAGGACTTGCCTGCCGATTACGGCGAGTGGTTTCCAAAACGTGATCCAGCTGATCGCAGGAGAGCTGGCATTTTGCTCCACCCGACGTCCTTTCGAGGACCGTACGGTATTGGAGATCTTGGTGACGAGGCGTTTCGGTTTATCGACTGGCTTCATGACGCCGGTTGCTCTGTTTGGCAGGTGCTTTTCATTATTGAAGATGAAGATAAATTAATATTATTGCATATTACATAGTGTTTACGACAAATGAATTTCATAAATTTTTAATGATATCTTGTTTGGAAGCTTCAATTTTAAAAATTACAAATGAATAAATTTTAAATTAATGAATTGGTATAATTTTGTCCAAGTTTTTGCCTAAGAGAGTTATTTACAAATGAATTTCATGTCAATTAAGAAATATTTTTATTTGGACAAATATGTGGTCTATCCTAACCTTTTGCTCATTCATTTTTAATCTGTGAGCTGTCTTTCTCGCACATATTTCTTCTCTCTGCTGCACTTCCCTGGCTTCCATAGGCTGCAAAATATTTGTGTCAATATAATGGTATAATTTTTGGACATGTAATATGATATAGACAGCCATTGTGATATTATATTTATGTATTAGATATATTTTCTTTGTATTTGTATTATATCACAATTACCTTTCAACCAACTAGAAGGTATGTAAGTAAAATACAAACTATAATTCTAATTCTACATGTCTTCCAAACATAAATTGTATTTACAAATAAATGATTTGGTTATATATATATATTTTTTTTTTTTTTTTTTTTCAAACAAGGGAATTCATTTGTAAATATAAATTCTCGTTCATTTCATTTATAAATGAAATGAATTTCGCCCTTCATTTGTTCCAAACACTCCGTTAGAGTTTAAAAAAATGTGTCAAATGAAATATATAGGTTTTACCTCTTGTTCCGCCGGGAAGGAAGGCTAATGAAGAAGGATCACCTTACTCCGGCCAGGTAATAATTTTTCTTATCTATTTATTTTTATCAGTAATTTTTTGAATTTAATAACAACTTGACCAGTCCGTGCTCTTTTTAAAAATTTAATGTGATACATTGAGCTTAGTGGATTTTTATTCGACATTCTACTGATAAGTTTATTTTGGAATAGAAACTCTTAATGAATTACTATGCTTTATTAATTAAAGAATTTTAATGGCAAAATTGGTTTTCCAGGATGCGAATTGTGGTAATACTCTTTTGATTTCACTTGAAGAGCTTGTGAAAGATGGATTATTGACAAAAGATGAGCTTCCAAGACCAATGTGAGAAATTTTGATTCTTACTAGTGTGTCCTAAATTGAGCTAATTATGATTCTTTTTTTAATGTTTACCTTATTTATTGCTTTCTTGTCATCCTTGTAGAGATGCTGATCGTGTGGACTTCTCTGTTGTTGCTGACTTGAAGGATCCGTTGATAGCTAAGGTAAATTATCTGGTGTTGTGCTGTTGATAGTTTTTTGTTTCACATTGTATTGCGGATGTATTCAGCATTAAAGAAATGCATAAATCACATGCAATGACCTTCTAGCTGTCTCCGTTGCTCCAGCTCTAGATGTGTTAGATATTGACCAAACATCAGGGGGGGGGGGAGCAGCAGAAAATCTTGGTTGAGCTGAGGACAACAATGTAATTGAATGACAATCCTACTGTGCCTGAGTTGAAATTGAAGATATCGTACAATGCATATGTTTTAGTTTAGATTATTGTATTGCTGGTTGAAATAGGTTGTAATAACTGGAATTGAATTGACATGCAAGCATAGCGAGAAGAGAAAAGGTTGTGATTTCCCATTCCGAGGATCTCTACTAGGGTTAAAACCTTATGGTGTCTATACAGTCCAAAAAGCTATTACTGACTATTGTTGTTGCAGTAATGGAGATTGGAGATTTTTATGATAGCTGAGAACTTTTAATTGTTTGTCCGAAGAAAAATGGACTCTATTATCGTATCTGTGGCTTTTCATTTCGTTTCTTTTTTTTTTTTTACTTTTTCCCCTTTTCTTGTGCTGCTATCATATAAAGTTTAGTTTCGTCGTAACTTTCTTCTTCTAGTCTTTTGATTCTGTTCTGTGCATTCTTTGCATCTTTTCTTGGATTTTTAAAGAGGGAAAGGAAAAAAAAAAACGTGAACAAAAAGGAAAAAGTAATTTTTTTTTAAGGGGTTTCATCATAATTTTTCTATTATAAATATGTCAGTAGCTGCTGTTAATTTTATTCTGTATTTTTTGTTTTTTAGGCCCTAGATTATCTTACATCAATCCTTTCTTAGGCTGCAGAGAGGCTTATTTTAAGTGACAGTGAACTTACAAGTCAGCTGGAAGATTTTCGGAGAAAGCCAGACATATCAAGTAAGATATTATCTCGGAGCATCATTCATTTGTGCTCACCGGATATGGCATCTCATTACTGATTAAAGAGAAGTGCTTCCATGTATGTTTGTTAGTTTATTCTTATAGGAAGTTCTGGTATTAAATTTGATGAAAAAGAGGAAAAATTGGGCAATAAATTGCATTATGACTTCAGTGAAGAAATATTTTATATTCAGAACACGCCACTTCGTGCTGCTATCAGAGTTTCAGTTGATTATTTTGGTCTCAAAATGCCAACAACTAGTTGCTGCATGATGCTGGATCTTCTAATCTTATATTCCTATAATTGCAAATACTTTATCAATAAACTCAACAAAAGCTACCTTTTTTAGCCATCTTCATGTGCAATGATCGTTTTTGAAAATATCTTTTTGTGATTATTGCATAATGTTTGCCAAATATGCTTTGGTTATTTTTGCATTGACAAAATTTAGCATAATATAATGGAAAATCACAGGCTGGTTGTGGGACAGCAGGATATAATGTATGGATTTTATTTATTTATTATTATTATTTTGGTCAAAGTCATTTTGCACTGATATCTTAATTGAACCACCTTTTATTTTCAATTTTATCATATGTTCATGTGAAGATTAGTGATACGTACAAGGGTGGGTGCATGCTTGTGCACTGATAGAAAATTTAATATCATTGACTGTCTCTCTTGTTTTGCCATTTGCATGTTGCAGCTACTCTTTCCTGAATGTTTCCATCCGTAGAACAATATTTGCTCTTTCCTTTCCTTCTTTAACTAATGCTTCGAGTTATTTCTTTTCTGTATGTTGTGTTTGAGCCTGTACACCAACTGCGAATATGATTTCATTGTCCATCTCTCTTGTTGTGTCATTTCCATGTTGCAGCTACTCTTTCCTGAATTTTTCATTCTTAGAATAATATCGTTGTTCTCTTTCCTTCCTTTTTTAACGTAAACATTGAGTTCTATTTCTGTTTTCTAGGTTGGCTTGAAGATGCAGCTTATTTTGCAGCTATTGACAATTCTTTAAATACACTTAATTGGTATGATTGGCCTGAGCCTTTAAAAAATTGCCATCTTGCAGCCTTGGAGGAAATATACCAGAGTAAAAAGAATTTTGTAAGATACAGATAGTTTTTTTCCCCAACCTTTTCTAATCCGTGTGGCATTTTGTTATCAGTATCTGTAGTCGATGCTAGAAGCTTCTACGAATACTCACTTTGTGCATTTACTTGTACAGATAGACATATTCATTGCACAACAGTTCTTATTCCAAAGGCAATGGCAGAGAGTTCGCAATTATGCACAGGAGAAGGGAATTAGTATAATGGGTGACATGCCCATATATGTAGGGTATCACAGCGCTGATGTTTGGGCAAATAAGAAATATTTTTTGCTTGTAAGAAGTACCTCCACATATTTGGGACTGTTGGACCATTCTGTTCATGTTGGTAACCCTTGTCATTCCAGTTGCTAACCCTTTTTTTTTTTTTTTTTGGTCTGCCAGAATAGGAATGGTTTTCCTCTTCTAGTTAGTGGTGTTCCCCCCGATGCCTTCAGTGAAACTGGTCAGTTATGGGACAGGTATGTACAGAACCAGATATCACCAAGATGAGCATATCCGATATTTTGAAGAAATAACGTTTCTTTTTCATTGCTTTTTATCAATTCAGTGCTCGTTAGTTTAAAGAATCTTTGAACTCGCACCAACTGCTTGACTCAGTTGGTAGTGCCTGCCCGTCCCCCAAAGTGTTTTGAGTTTGAGCCTCCTGTGAAAACAAAGAAAGAATCTTCTTGCATATATCGAAGATCAACTGTGCTCTCTACTATTCCAATTGGGTCTCCTTCAATCATTACAAAATAGCTGCCTGCTGCTCAAAATAGAACTCTTTTGTGCATACTTTTTACTCATTGACATTTTCTCTTTGCTTATACAACCAACATTATGATGATGTTTCTGTGGATACTATGTGATAGTTTCCACAAATAGTTCCCTTTAATCACAAGGGATTTGCAATGAGTACTTGAAACGATAACTTCAGCTTCAAAATAAATTCCTACTTGCTCACAAATTTTGCTTGTATCTGAAAGTAATTTGAATTGGTGCTCTTGAAGTTGATTGTTAGCTGGATGTGGTTTGCTTTTCAAGTGTTAGGCAAAGAAAATACTTCTCTTGCTTTTATGATATTCCTTGGAACGTAAACTATTCGAAAAATATTGTGGAATAAATTGGTCAGATAACTGATTTCTTCTCTGCCTGACCTGAAGTCCTCTATATGATTGGAAAGCCATGGAGAAGGATGGGTATTCATGGTGGATACGCCGCATATGGCGGGCTCAAGATCTGTATGATGAATTTAGAATAGATCATTTTAGAGGTTTTGCGGGCTTTTGGGCCGTTCCTTCAGGTAAGAAAATATTCAGTTAGAAAAATTGATGTGATGTTGGATTCATATTTTATGCTAATAAACTGCATTAATTTGCAGAAGCGAAAGTTGCAATGGTCGGAAACTGGAAGGTCAGCTTTCTGTATTTTTCAAATGAATTGTGATATTTTGTGAATTTTCCTATCATTCACTTCAGACGTTATTTTGATGACAGTAGGTAGGACCTGGAAAATCCCTGTTTGATGCAATCTCTAGAGCTGTTGGAAAGATCAATATAATAGCAGAAGATCTGGTATGTGTCAGTAGATAGGATTTAAAAAAATATTTTATGTTTCCCTTGTCATCACATTATAGGAGGTGAAATTATATTACATGCTAATAATTGATTGTTAAATTTTTGCACAGAAGTTTTATTTCTGCATTTTACTGGTAGTTTACACGATCACTTATTTGAATTCAAGAAGGTGATATCAATAAGCAACTGACCTTTCAGAGAAATGGCACTGATTCTTTACTAATCATCTCATCAACATGATGAACACACAAAATGTAATCTTATTAATCATAGATTCAATTATGTAATCCTATCTTTGTTCTGCTGTTCCTCATAATCATTGATGTTTGGGTGGTTATTATACATCCTATTCTACTCACACATGCATGCAAAATAAAAGATAATTGCAGGAGACAAAGAGTGAATGTGCATGCATGGTCAATCACTGTCATTGGTTCTGCAATGAAGTCGTATAAGAATGTGCATTTTGTTCTGGCTAAAATGTCCCCTGTTTATCAAAGGTTCTTATGGTTTTGTTGCTTTTGCTTTTCAAGGTGTGTTCTTTAATTCATAGTTCTATACCATTAGGACATTGCCTTTATATACCATTAGGACATTGCCTTTCTTGTTGAAGCAAGGCCATAGGTGTAGATGGATTGCTCTTTGCTACCATTATCAACTTTTTAAGATTTGGGGCATTAAAATGCAAGGAATTATAATTTTCACATAACCATTTATTAGACACCTTCTATACTGTCATTTCACAGGGAGTTATCACTGAAGATGTAGTGCAACTTAGGAAATCAATTGGTGCTCCTGGAATGGCTGTCGTTCAGTTTGGTAATGAGTTGTTTCTTATTTTAGTTTATATGTCCAAATAAATTGCTGTTTCAAAGTGATTACATTGAAGTTTTCATGGGTAGTGATGTTCTTCCATAACTTTTTTTTTTTTTCCTTTTTTTTTCCTGATTCCAGGTTTTGGAAGTAATGCAGACAACCCTCATTTGCCTCATAATCACGAGCCCAATCAAGTTGTGTACACTGGAACTCATGATAATGACACGGTAGAAATTCATCTATACTCTGGAACATTTTTATCTTTTGCCCTATTCCCCATCTTGTTACCATGTGAATGGAGCAGCAGGTTCTGCTTTTTCAGAATACTAGTTTATGGTTTGCAAATAGGAATGTAGTTTGAATCCAAAAGAAAATGAGAATATAATTTATTCCAATTCCTTGATTTTAACAATTTTCTTTCATAAGTTAGAAGCTATGGCCTTATAACAGTTTTGTTTGTGTATTTGTAACAGATTCGAGGTTGGTGGGATGTTTTGAAACAAGAAGAGAAATCAAATGTAAGTGTTTTTGGTAGTCTTGATCCCCACATGTGAATTCCCATACGCGTGCATATAATGAGGACTTAAGTTTCATTGCTATTTCAGGTTATAAAGTATCTTTCGATTAATGAACAAGATGATATCCCGTGGGAACTCATTCAAGCTGTCCTTTCATCAGTGGCCAAAACTGCAGTCATACCTATGCAAGATATTCTTGGATTGGGGAATTCAGCCAGGATGAATATTCCTGCTACTCAGGTATAGGATCACCATGCATCGATGCACTACTACTGGCTTGTTGCTATGGGGCTATAGTTACATAAACTGAATATTGCTTTCCTTTTTTAATAACCATAAATCCCAAATATTCTTTTTTGTTAAACAAAAGAGTTGTCACTTGAGATGATATGAACTAATAACCTTTGTTTTAATCAGTTTTGAAAGTAGTTTTTAAGAATTTCACTACTTTCGATCACATAACTAGAAAGATTTCTATAACCTGGCTCTTTCTGATAATGCACAGTTTGGAAACTGGAGTTGGAGGATACCTAGTTCCATGAGCTTTGATGGCTTGGAGAATGAAGCCATGCGACTCAAGGATTTGATTTCAGTGTATGGCCGGTTGTAGATGAAGAAAGCTAAGATCTTTCTCTTGGAGGCTACATCTATATTGCAGATAAGTTATTCAGTTTGTTGTACAAATTATAATCTGATCCTGAATAAATTAGAGGTTGCACTTGAATCATAGGTGAGCGGTTCTGTTTGCTGTATGAGTTATTCTGATCCCAAATGAATAAATCAAATCTAGACACTGATTGTATTAATAATAAACGAGTCAGACTTGAAGTCAGTTGTCAGAGTTAATTTAATTTCAGATGAATTAAAAGGTTCAAACCACGTATTTTTCTTCTCTGGACATTCTGTTCTTTGCATCCATTCAAAATGACATGTTTTGCCTTCATAATTCAGCAACTGGCTTTCAAAATTTATTACTATAGCTAGCTAGCTAGCTCACTTATTTCTCAATGAATATTGTGAACTAACCAAAATTTTGTTTCCATGTTTGGGTTGCTAACTCTATTATATTCAAGCATTCGTTTTTCTGTTCTCTTAATCTAATTTTATGTTCTGAGGTTCACATAAAACATCATCTCTTCTAAAGGGACCAGTTGGCTTATTGAACTCGCTTTGATTAAGTGCCTTTTTCTCAAACTCGTGTCCTCTGCCCTGGGCAATGAATCATGTATGACGGGACAAATACAAGATATTCTATGAATCCAGTTCACATAACCAATAATCCATGGCCTAGTTGAACTACAATTGCATGAAAATCATTTTTTTCATTCAAAATGTACAGAGAAAAAAGGGGAGAATTAACATCAAAGTTCAAAGTAAAATATGAAGACAGAAAAGGTTCAGGCTGTAGAATTATGCAGCTTTCTCAATCGTTTGAATGCATTCTAATACAGTCGACTTATTTGACATTGCTGCCATCAGGGCTTCATGAAGTGCCTTGTTATTTTTAATGAGAGATCCCGCAAATAAAACCTGCAATACTTTCTCCCAGCATCAATGTACATGCGCGTGCGCACACAAACACACCAAACATACATGTATATATTTATACACTCAAGTACATATGTAAAGGAAAGGAAATGAAATCGAAACACCAACCATGCAAGTTAATAGTTACTTACAGCCCATCTGGTAAGATTCTGTTGCTGGTCTTTGCTAAGCTGTGGTTTGCTTCTATTTATAAATCTCTGTATCAAATGAAATGAAAATCCTTATTGACCTTCGGCTTACATGCGACATTTCTACGGAACATTCAGTTCAAGTACTGAAGCTTAGTTACGAACCTGTAGACTGAAAAGGTCAGCAGATTGGCCGACCACTTTGTCATATTGCAGACCCTCTGCGGCAAGTCCAGCCATTGCTACAACAGCCAACCTGATAAAACAATAACTCAGCAATGGATTTTCGAAGTATCTTAAGCCAAATTAACTTCCCAGACACATTCGAGAAGCAACAGAGATTAACACAATATCAGGAGACCATATTGAAAAACTTTATCGTTCAGGAGTCTATGCTTTTAAGCAGATACCTATCTAATTCCTTAGCATCAAGCTGCCCACTATATATCAGCTTTTCGAGCTTTTCATCAACGAGATTGACATGCTCTTTTCCAATTTCTAACGAGTAGTCCAGAATAGGAAGTCCAAGCAAGTAGGCAACTGAAATGCAAAAGATCATCATTTCATCAATCAGCTACTCTCTACTGAATCAGGCGTTTCCAATTCATTTGGTAGATGTATAAAACGAAGAGAGAGAGCTTAAAAAATGAGCTGCTTCGTGTCTAGCTATCCTCTCTTGATAGTCAGGAAAAAATGCGGAGAAACCACTAATAGCAGCTTGAAGAAGCCTACAACAACAGATAAAAAGCATCAGTCATACGTATGCATCCATGAGTTTACTGTCAAATCCCTTTTAAGAAAAGGAAATTAGACTCGTTACGATATCAATGCATCAGAACAGCACCTTTAGAAGACTCTAGCTGACTTGTGAAGATAAAACTGTATAGCAAGATCTTACCCAGGAGAAATACTCCCCACAGCCAGGACTATTAAAGAAATGCTTCCAACCAAGTATGGCACGAAGAAGCCCCAATCCTACAGAAGATATTGCAAGATAAATATCACTAGTAGCCAGACCTACTCAAATTTTACACACTACCTAACACATGCATTCGCATGCAAACACACAAAATAACTCCGAGAAATGCTTTGAATTTACCCCAGGAAGCTGGCCAGCAAGGACTCCCAAAAAGCCTGTTGTTCCCACCACTGTGAAAAGAAAAGCTGCCTGCATTGCTGAAAGATATTAACTGTATGAATGGTGGTTTAAACCTCATGTTTACGCTGCCCAAAAGTTGAGACTTGTAACACAATTAAAATAAAATAATAGCGATCAAATTCCGGTCAATATATAACTACCATATATATATAATTAGCCGAGAGAAGATCAGCTAGCTGCTTAATTTGAAGGTAAGGATGTTCAATTGCCTAAGTTTAAAGCAAGTCAACTATTAAGTTTCTCAACTAGTTTTCACTCTTTTCAAATTTAGCAGAAGTGCTGTAAGTAGTGCTTGCGCATAGTGCTTATTTTAATGCTTTCTCCCTCCAAGAAGTCCATCTAGTATAGCAGCATAACGATTAATAGCACTTACATCATTTCTAACGCTTGGAATTGCCAGGTTCTCTGAATTCTTAATTCCAAGAGTTGTTAGCTCCCGAATAGATGTCTGTCACAAGGTTTGATAGTCAAAACAATTTGTTTCATGAACAAGAAAAAATCCAAAAAAGAAATAGAATTCGGGGAAAGATATGCATAATTCATGTACATGTATGAATGGTTTCGCAAGTATTGGCTAAGAACATTCCCAGAACTTCATACTTGTAATGGAGACTGACCGTACGGCGAGAGACATACGGCTGAGAACTCCATCTCTTAGCCCAACCAATTTCCCTTAGCTGATCAAGTGCCTCTTTAACAGCATTACTGTCTTTCTGCAGCAAATACATATTTCTCAATACTCTACTAGAGCTCGCATCCATTATATAATAAGTAAACCGGTTTATGTTCTTGAAAGCTAAAGGGTCGGTTGCTTGATTGGATTGCTAATTGTATTCATCTTCTTCTCATAAAACATGATTCCCATAGATCGATTGCCTAAACTAAATAAGCATGTTCCAGTCGATCATTTGCCATGATCATTTAAAATAGTCTATTCTTGCTGCCAAATTGTGGAATGTTTCTGATAAGGAAATTATAAAATATATAGAGAAAAAATGAGAGAACCTTAGCAAGTGCAGATTCAAGAGTCTTGAGGTCAACACCTGGTGCAGCAGAAGAAGCTCTTATGTGCAGCTTGCGGTGATGATGAGAGTACGGAAATGCAGTGTATGTTGATGCAGTATTTGACAGAGAAGCCATTAAAGTGAGCATTTTCTGTTCAAAAAAAGAATTGAAGTTTCAGAAATTAAGAAAGCCGTTGGTGTTTGTTAAGATAAATTGGAAGGGGAAAAAAAAACTTGAGGATAAGGCTGTTTGCGTTTGGCGCGCGAGGGTCAGTTTCCGACACGTCACTCGTTTGTTTCTGGCTAAGATTTAAGAAATTAAAAAATTAAAAAATAATTAACTTGTTGAGAGTGGGATTTGAACCCACGCCCTTTCGGACCAGAACCTTAATCTGGCGCCTTAGACCAACTCGGCCATCTCAACTTATGCTGTTGATTTCGTCTACTTTTTTTATAGAAACAAATATACCAATAACACTTCTTTTTATTTTTATTTTTGGTAAATTACCTATCTATCATTATATAATACTCAAAGTCTCATGTATTTTTAAATTTTTAATTGCATTCTATTTATCTTTAAAATATTTAATTTATCCTTCCAAATAATTTTTTTAGTCAAATAAAAATTTTAACTCGAAATATCCTTGATTAAAATGCAAATAATAATAATAATAAAATTAAATTAAATTCTAAAGATTTCAAAAATGAAACATTTAGGTGGGATGACTTTAAAATACTATTATTATTATCATTTGTATTTTAGTAGATGGTTTCGACAATTTATCATATATTTTTTCTAGAACCGATCAACCACACAAGTCAAAGATGTGCAAAATCCATTTCTTTCAACAAGTGGGAATTTGAAAGCATGCCTAGGCATGTTGTTGTTGTTGTTGTTGTTGTTGTTTTTTTTTTTTTTTTTTTTTTTTTTGGGAATTTGAAAGCTTTCATTGATCATGCAACATTTGAAGTATGTTATCTTGACGTCTTTCTCGAGTAATAGTAGATGGTTTCAACAATTTATCATATATATTTTTTCCTTACTAATCAAAGATATGCAAAATCCATTTCTTTCAACATGAGGAAATTTGAAAGCATTCCTAGGCTTGTTTTTTGAAAATTTGAAAGCCTTCCTTAGCTTGTATAAAATGAAAATAATCATAACATATAATTAGTTATAACAAGCATTTTAGGTGTGGAGTAGTATCCATCGTCCAAGGTAAGTGCTTGACGCCTTTTACGGCCTAAGGGGACCTCAAAGTCATGTTTCGGACTTTCCCTTGTTAGCCTTACTTGGATCATTTTTCTTTTAATATAAATATCCACTCTCTAACTATAATAGAACTAGATCTATTTCATTATTAATATGGAAAGGTTCTAAACCTCGCTAGAGGAGGCACATTATCTAATCACTAGTATAGGTTCTAGAGTTTTTCCAAGTGAAAGAGTGACCTTGCTTGGTGCTATTTTAAGTAAGCCTCTTGTTCTAGAGCTAAAGTAAGGAAAGTTTTAGAATAAGTCATTGAAGTCAAAGCTTAAAGGTTATTTTATAGAGTGGTTAGTAAGTTATTCCTAGGTTAATTGAATTACACAAATAAAACAAAGCATAAATTAAGAAATAAGATATATATTTTCTGTTATTATTTTCTTTAAGTTCTATAACCTTTAATATAGGACTAGAGAAAAATTTTCAATTTATTTTTCTTAGTAGGTAAGGATTCCATCATCTAACATGCATTAACCTTTAGTTATCTCAACAAGACATACATGAAGGATTAGATAGGTAACTCCTTACCAATTGCATTTAATCCAATTCTTAATCTCATTGGTATGACAACTCCTTGTCATCTTACACCTTATGTGAATACCAATCTTTGTTTACAAATTTGTTAGACCTTAGTTATCTCAACAAATCCAATAATTCATTTCAAGTTAGACCCAAACATGTAGGGACCTAACGTGGCTCATAATTTGATTCCCTCATGGAAGAAATGACCTTGAGTTATCTCAATAAATCAATAATGATTAAGAGAGTTCTCTTCTTATAACGTTAAAAGAAAATTAACTTGATATTAATTTAAAGGATTTAATATAATAGATCTCATCATTTTAATTCTTGCATGCATACTAGTTATTAATTGTATTAATCCTATCATGCATACTATCAATCGTATAATAATTACATATATCTCATGCTTGACTTAAAGATCAATGAATGGTAATGGATCTCTACTACCAGGTCCCTTTATGTCATAAGCGGACTAGTGGGTCAAATATCTAGGTGAAAAATTATTATAAATTCTTCGAGATTGTCTTCTCTTCTGGCTTCTTCTCCTTACATCTATTATAATATCTTATCTTCTACTTTTACATTTCTTTGAATAAGAAACCTCGAGTTACATTCGAGGAGAGTAAGATGAGAAGAGAAATATATTAGAATGATAGAGAATACGGGACATGCATGCCTTATTTAACTAAAAATTTATAAGCATACATTCTCAAAAACTAAGTTGACTTATCCATACATTCACCCATGCTTTAATCATATTGATACATGGTATACAAATAAAACACATTTCATTTTAATTATAATTATAAAACTATGGTTTTGGTTATTTTATACATAATATTAAAATTTCTCTAAATTTTAATTTTTAGACTTTTCAAACTTTGGAGGCTTATGGATCGCCATGCCCTAGTCGGCTAGTGCCTAGCATCGGCCGCCTATTGCCATCGGCTCGGCACGCTTATGCGTACCGGCTTGGCTTTGGCCACTAACCATCGGCTAGCACCGGCTTTAGTAGGCTAGTTGCACCGGCTCGGTGCCAACTAGCCTAGCCGCACTCGCACATGCTCGCCCTTTTGCCTAGCTTGCATACACCTAGCACTATTGCCCGGCAAGCTCATATGTGATTTCCTTAGTGTCTAATACGCTTATGCACACCTACGTGTGCTAGGCATACTTGTCTTTACGTGTTCCTAGCATGCCTTTAGCCATGCCCCGGGCCTTATGAGCGCCTAGTGTATGTATGGCCTTGCCTTAGGCCCGGTGTGCTCCTAGCACGCCCGACCTAGCCTTTAGCCTAGTGTGCCCATTGGCATGCCCGGCTCGTAAATGGCATGACATGATTACGTGTGTTTAGCCTAGCCTTATGTACATTCATAGCACACCCGACATGCACTTGGCATGTCTAACTTAGCATGTGTCTACCCTAGGTGTCATCGCTCGCGTAAGTGCCAACGTCTAATATTGACCTTGTGCATACCTTCTCTTTTTTTGGCTCAAGAAAAAATTTAAATTTTTATAAAATATCAAAACCCTACATTTATAATTAGAAACTATTAATTCATGTAGTTAATCATAATTAACATAAGATACAATTAAAGATTCAATGGAGGGTTTGATACCAATTAAAGGATTATGCATCCTATGGAGATGGGAATAAAAGAAAATTTTTCATTCATCTAAGGCTCCTAAGATCAAGCCGTTAAATCAACTAATCATATATTAATATGAATATAAATATGGGTGAACGATTACCTCTTGTAGTGTTGAAAACAATCAAGCGAGAAAAGAACCAGTCCAAGTATCTATTGATTATCCATGCAACTTAAACTCCCATAAAGGAAGCTACGAAATCATAGAGTGCTAGCAACAATCCTTCGTATAGTTAATTTTATTTTTAAAGAAATCAATCAAGGTTTTTATGATAACTTAGGTTTTTAGGGAGGAAAGCGAGTAACTTAGGTTTTTTAAGAAGAGAAACATTTTCTCTCTTTTCTATTTGTTTTTACCATATGTGTACGTTTCTTAAGTCGCCACTTGCTACCTCTCTCCCCTTTATTTAAATGAAGGGGGTGGTATCCTTGTACTCCAAGGGTAAGGAGTTACAACATATGTTGGCTTATTTGATCTTATTTTAGTAAACCTTGAGCCTTATCTAATAATGCTCAAGTTTATCCTTCTACTAAAATATCTTATAGGTTTTTAAATTAAGCCTATTGGCCTAAACTCTTTTGTCCTAATTAATTATCAATTAATTTAGTCTATCCAAATAAATTAGGTAAGATATTTTTAGGAAGCCCACATTAGGAAATAATTTTCAAATTACCCTTAAACCTAAACCAGAAAAGTAATTTTTAATTTAGGTAACTATCTTCTAAATTTAGAATTAACTTCCAAATTAGAAAATTGATTTCTAAAATAGGAAATTTTTCCTTTTAGAAAAATTTTTCCAAAACAAAAAACTTTCTATTTTTGAAAAAATAAAAAACTTTCAAAACTAGAAATCTTTCCCAAAATCTTTATTGTTCTTTTATTATGTGAATGCTCAAACTTATGCGTGTGACTAAATAAGCTCCTAGATATGTTAAGAATGTTTTAAGAATAAAAGAGGTGATGTTTCAAGAATAAAAGACACATCTTTTATCTCTTGAAATATAAATCAAGATTGACCTCTAGTGAGGCATCATGATTGCCCAATTCTCTAGGAGGATTAATTAATTCATAATTATCTTTCTCGAGTATAGTTATCATATAATTCAATCCTCGGATATATTGGCAATGTTTCAATAATAAAAGATACCTCTTTTATCTCTTGATACATAAATCAACATTGGCCTCTAGTAAGGCATCATGACTATTCAATTCTCTAAGAGGATCAATTAATTCATAATTACCTTTCACGAGCATGGTTATCATACAATTCATACCTTATGTTAATTTATTAAAATATGATCTCGAACTTGATTTATAGTTTATTCGATTATGATCACACAAGTTTTCTTTGATGCCTAAATATCTTAGCTCTAAAATAAACCAAAAATGCCCTATTAGTATATTGCCACTGTGGCCATAGATTCCTTGAGAAAAAATTCATCTAAATGCGAGTATGATAACTCTTTTAGTATATAAGAAATAACATATCTAATCTTAGTCATCCACTTATCTCCATTAGATTCATAGTGCATCCAACAAATTTCTCACATGTAACTCTTGAATGAGCTCATTGGAAAAAGTGTCAAAATACATAAATTCTCTAATGAGATAACCATGATGACTTTAAGTTAAAGGACCGAGTTATACCTATCTTGTATGAGATCCTATAAACTAAACCAAATAGGTTCTCATGGTGAGTCACGTCTAGTGATAGTTTCTCTAACATTAATTACCTAAGTGATTGCTTTGGCATCACCATACTAATAGGTGTGAGATCTCCTACCGATATATGATAACATGAGCATAGCACTCACAAGTCTTACTCGTATATAGTCAATGTCCATTCTTGACAATACTATGATTTGAGACATTTAATAATATCATTTAAATATATCAATATCCATCCCACATCAATTGATTAATCATTATTGCAATTCATATCATATGGACTTCTATATAATTCTATTAAAATATAAACGAAAAGAATTAATAAAAAGACTTATTTTATTAATATATAAAAATACAACTTATACAACAAATCAAACCATCCAAATAAGGTTGGATCTTAGGCACCTACACTAACAAACCCATCCTAAAATAATATTTAAGTTAGCAATTAAAAAAAAAGGGCAAGCTTAAAAGGAAAAACGACATAGTTGGTGTCCCTCATTTTTCCTTTCTTCTTCTCCTCTCTTTCTCACTCAATCTTTCTCCCAACTTCCTCTTATCTCCCTCTTTCAATTTCTAAGCTAAAACCTTATAAAATTATCTTTGAAAAACCATAAACAAGTTAACTTAAGTAGATTTTAGTTGGATTAAAGCTTGGAAAGCTTAGAGAGTTTGGATTGAAATTGGAGTTGAACAACCAATTGTCAAAGGTAAGAGTTTGGTCATTTGATCTTTAGATTATGATGTTTATATATATTTATTGATGATATTGAAGTTGAATTATATTGGGTTTGTTAGAATGAAGAATTTGATGAGATTAGTATTAGGGTTTTTGAGACCCATTTGAGGAAAAATTGATTAAGTGATATTAAGTGATTAAATTATGTTTAATTATTTTAGGTAAGTGGTTTATGAAGTTAAATTGAAGTTTTATTAAGTAAATTTTATAATTAAATAAGAGGTTGAAGATGATGAATAGTGAAAAATTCAAAATCCGGTTTTGGATTGAAAAGAAAATTGGGAAAACAAAGAATTAAGTTATATAAACATAATTTAAGATGAATGGAATAAGCATTAAGTGAATTGGAATAGAATTGATGATTTAATTGAGAATTTATTGTTTAAAGACTTGAATTGAATTTGAAAAAAGATGGTATATGTAAATGTTGATTGAATTGAGGATTGATAATGTTATATAACTAGGTAATTGTTTAGAATCGATTAAGAGATTATAGAGTTTAGTTAAAGTTATTAGTTTGAGTCTTTCGATCATTTTTCATTCTTACAAATAATCTTATGTCCCTATTTTTAGAATAATTAATTTGTTTTGAATTATTCTTTGATATGTGATATTGATAGTTATTCCATCATCTTATGTTATTAGATTGTTCGAAGAAGGAGACTTAATTGCAACAATCTTAATTTTGTTCGATCCTTCGATTATACTATGAGTGAATATTATATAACAAATATGCTTTTAAATTCCTTCAACATATCTAACATGCATCATCGATTTATTTGTGATCTAAGTGCATTCATTAGAACTTAAATGGGAATAGACCCTTGTATATTTGAAATGATTTCATATCAAAAATGATTTAAAAAGGGATTTGAATATATGTTTGAATAAGTATTTCATCTATGGTTTGATATGAAATTATGGATTTAAATATTAATTTAATTTAGACTGATATTTGATTATTTATATAATGTTTGTTAAAGTTTATTTAATATTGAATTGTACTATCAATCGATTTGAGCATGCATTGTGTTTGAGATACTTGGATTTAAAATATGTATAAGCTTATATGGTTTTTGATATGATTTGTTTACCTTGGGGCACCTAGCTATGGAGAGCATATCCTTTGAGCTCAATGATATGTTAAGCTCTAGCTAGTATGAGAGATATGGTGCTAACTCGTGTGTTCACCAACCTACGAAAATGTAGTCACAAGGTACGTGACCTTTGAGTGTTCACATCCAATGATACATTATGTTTTCACCCTAAGTGTAATGTAAACCTAGATATATAATTTGATTTGATTTGATTATGATATATAAGTGTGATTCATATAGTTGATTTGATTTGAGTACGATATATGTATATAAAAATGTTTTAATGATTTAATATAAATTGGTTTTGAACTATTTAAGATTTGATATTTATGATATGCATTTATTTTGAAGAAATATTGCATTTTGATTCGAATTTTAAGTTACCATCCTTAATCCGTTTTCCTATCTTATTATATTATATAGTATCTATTCATTTAGTTATTAATTGCTCACTATTTCAGTTTTATAGGGTTTGTGAGAATGTCTTTTCAAATTCCTCTCAATTGCTTATCTTGAAATTGGCACATTGATCATGCGACTCATTTATTTATAATATGTTAGAACTTGTGCTTGATTTTGTTGTATTCTTAGAAAGTCTGCAATTATATCTTATGGAAATATATTAACTTATAGTAAAGCATCTAATCAACTTCATCCAAATTGAACTTCCCTTGCTGATAGCTCTAAATGTCTCCATGACAGGCCGAATGAAACCGTACATCGCACCCATAATCGCACTCCCAGCAACTCCAACAACAGTCCACAATGCTATTGGTATGGGAACTAGTAAAATCAATAGGCACTTCATATATGGGCCAAATTTCATTGATCTGTTTCCAATTTCAAAAGTACAGTAAGAAAGAAAGGAAAGAACAAACTTAATGTTAGCATGAAACTGCCAAATATTGAACTGACTACAAGGAGGTATACTCTTCATAATCTCATACTAACAGTAAACGGAAAAGAAATAGAAAACTTACTTTATTATGCAGTAGATGCTCCATACAAGGTGAAGGGGCCATAAACCAATGATGATACCAGTATCAGCAAATGCAATTACTAGTAAAACAAAGGGACTGAAAATAGCTCCTGCAAATTAGTTTTATGATTAACAACAAAGGACTAACAATGATTCAGATATTATAACCAAGACAGAGAAAAAGAATGGATACCTTTGATGCATCCAAGAAAAAATAGAAACAAAAAAATCGGAAAGAAAACAATAAAGAATAAAAAGAAGGTTCAAGAATCCTTTAGGAGCATTCTTTTTTTTTTTTAATGAAGCAGCTATTTTCTTTTCTTGAGAGAGAAAAAACACAAAGAATAGCTATGGCTTAGGCCCTTCTTTTAGTTGTGGATAATCAGAGGCGAGTGAATATTTAAAGAAAAATGATGATGTATCTAGTGGACACTAAGCCTAGCCTTAAGCAGGCCATTCTTTCCTGCAACTTCTCAGCAGCCAAAAAGAAGCATAATAGCAAAAGCAGAGTTCAATTACCTCATTCTACATATAATATGTATCTAGTTGGTCAATCTTGATTGGTAAAGACAAATGCTATAAAACAAAATTCTGTATCATCGGCCGTGGAAAAGACAAACAGGAAGGACAATAGAATATGTGTTATTCAAGAATCACTCTCTTTAAGTTTCTAATTTTTTAATTCACCAAATCTTGTCCCAGGTTTCTTGATCAACTCACTAACTTCAGGATCCCTTCAAAAGAGAAATCATGTTACGGTCATACCGTATAGAATTAAAAAATTATATATGTCAACCAAATGGTCTGGTACAGACAAAATTTTGGTCTGCTGCCTGACTAATGGAATCCAATTGGACCTATTTATGTTTCAAGCGATTTTTCTTATATTATCTGTGTTCATATATATATATATATATATATTGGCATCATTTTAGTCTAAACTAGTGTTCAATCTTCAATAGTTGTTAAAAGGGAAATAATCAGGCATTCAGATTAGCTGCTCTAGACTTCTAGGTCCATACACACTTGATAGTTAGTAACTAAGCATCCATACAATTTAGATACTTGTACTCTTTCCATTGTCTGCCCATGACTGTACTAGCTAGAAAGATGATCACAAGCCTCGGTTGACTTCACCATCAACTGCAACCTGGGCAGCACATTCCATTGTTCAAACGTTTGCATACTGTTAACATTTCATGACACAGCCCTTCCATTTTTCTCCCCTCGATTAAAGTATGTTTGCTTCACTTTTGACAACTAACATCATGATAAAACCAAACTGCTTTAGTTCATCACCTTCTACCAAATGATGAACTGTCTAGCTTGAACTAAGCCAAGGCAGCATGGAGTTGTTGCTCTTTAGCATTGATCGATCCTACTGAAGAAAGAAGCTGTCATGTCAAACCTACGTAGCCCAAGGTAGGAGACTGGATTCATATGTAATGTATGGCATAGGATCCACTTTTGTTTTTTCGAATAGACAGCCCAAGGTTAATGTAAGAGGAACAGACAGTTGCAAAATCTATTTTAAATGTCAGCAACAAAAACTGCATTCAGAACAAGGGATTGTGCTCACTATTTGATTTAAGTAAAGATACACCAACTATCTTACCATGCTCAACAATCTAAGAAGAAAATATTCCTCAACTAAACCATGTTTTCCTTTTACCAGGAAAGCAGTACTAATGCCTTGCATGCCTTCCCTAATGGTAAAGTTCGACAAGCCGTCATGCTTTCAACTTCATAGTCGTACCATGTTTATGAGTTCTGGGATCCTGGCGAACAACTTGCACCTGTATTACATTGCAAAAATTGCCTTTTGCAAGGATAAATGTAAAAATGCACTGGTCTCTTGGTACCAACTTGTTCATCCTGCAGAACTCAGAGAATCCACTAGTAAGCACAGTATAGCCGCTGTCCCAGAAACTGACTTGCACAGGCCATAACTTCCCACTCTCATCACGAAGTTTCATCTCTTTAGGCACGTTAATATTATGTTGTCTCATGAATGTCATGGGAATACGCTGCAGACAACAACAATACAATAAGGCATCCTATGCAGTGGTAACAAAAAAGGGCCACCAAACAAGACTAACTTTTCAATGGCAAGACAATAAGTAGGTAAAAAATAAAGGGAATAGATAAGAACGTGCCATATAAGTCTGTGAAGAGAGTCGTACTATCAGCTGAAAGAAATTTTTGAAAAGAGAGAGAGAGAGAGAGAGAGAGAGATTGCTCTGGAACTAGCAGTGGCCATTTTATAGAAAATTTCACACCCTCTGCCAACAAAGAGAGCAATATCAATTCAGATTTCTTGGATTTTGGCAAATACAGTTTTTAAGATGTATCCAGTTTTTTCCTATGCATGGATAAACAAAGTCTTCTTTGTTTTTTTTTTTTCCCCCTTGTTCTTATGGCTTTGTTTTCCTTAATCCTTAAATCAAGTGTAAAGGGCAGGGCAGCAGAGTATTCCAATTGGTAGTATTTTGTTATCCCCAGCAACAATTGCTGTTCTGCAATTGTTCCACGGATCTTAAATTGAGCTAAAAACTCATGTTGAAATCCAAGTAATGAGCAACCTTATACAAGTTAACCAGATGCTACTTGGACAATTAAAGCAGTAGAGTTGAGGCTTCGTACAGGGCAAGTGCATCAATGAACTCCTGGAACAACTCATCACCTAAATAAAGTTAAAAATCTCATGTATTTCTAAAAGACAAACCTTATTTAACACAGCCAACTTACTTTCTACTTCACTCAATATGGATGAACACTTCAAGTTATCAGATTAGATCATATCAGGCACTAAACCAAACTTGGCTAAGAACTGCAATGACTAGTTTATGTTTCGTTTAACATTGAAAGGCATGCATCTAAATGACTCGTAACTATATCAGAAAACTATAAAAATAAGGCATTAGGTTAGACAAAATTCTGAATAAACAATTTGTCATAGTTATACTTGAAACTTACTGTTGCAAATGGGTTACACACATTTCCTTGCCCCTGCTTTCCTTGTTGACACAAAGAATACCGAAGGATAAAGCTAAACAATAGTCTACTTTTTTCTCTCTTTGCTTTGTCTTTATAATTAAGACTAAGCAATACAAACTTCCTAGACTTATGTTGTTTCTAGGGACTGATACAGGCAAGTGAGCCCCAACAGCCAACGGGGAGCTTGTGGTAAAATTTTCAACTTCATATTCCTTGAATTTCCATTTTAGCACCTCTAAGCAATTTGATACTCAGCAAAATAACCACAATTGTGCATCTAACAAACATTCACTGAAAATAATTGCATTTAAATCAATTCTGGAGATTTTTTTTTACATTCTTTACAAATCTTGCTAGATGCAAGATAGGAATACTCACAGCAAATCGCATTGTTCTAGTGATATTCATCACAAAGCGCGGAACTTTGCCAGGAACAGATGATGGTACTTTAACCCCCTTGTGTCCCCCAAGTTTTGCTACCTTAGTTTCACTTGATGCAGGTCCACTTTTTCCTAACAAACCTATTAACATAAAACAATTTGCATTAACAAAATGGCAAAATCATTTCAACAAAAAATATTTTAGCGAAAAACTAACCCTGCGATCGAGTTCTTCGAGGTTCAATGTTTGAATCATTCTGCTTATAGCCACTGCTAGGCCCACTACCAATAAACTCTACTTCTGTCTCTTCTTCTGTTTCTTCTTCCTCCTTCACATGAATGCTAGTCCTATTCTTTAAACCTCTACGTTCATTCTTCAATCCATTTTTACCATACAATTCAACTTCAAATTCAGAACTCCCATCATACTTAAAAATCAAGAAATCACCATCAACTAAAGAATAATAAGAAGCAAATTCTTTCCACCCATCTTTAATAATCCAGTCCCCTTCATTTTTCACCAACCCCACATGCCAAATCTCTGCATTTCCATCTTTAAGTGTAGCATTCTTTGGTAAAGTTTCATTCTTTCCATTAAATTGTATACCAAAAGCAGGTGGTAAGCTCTGCGAATATTGACAAAAGATTCAATTTTGATCAATACCCAATTGAGAAAACCAAAAACAGTTGAGAAATATAGAGAAAGAGAGAAGGTACCAGTTGGCGGGAACTGAAATCTGAAAGGTATACTTTGAAGAACTCGTTGCAGAAAGAAACGTTTCTTTTAGGTTTTACCATTGTTTCTTTATTTTACTGTTTTTGGGTTCTGGTTGAAATGTAAGACACTCAGCAGTCATTCATATCTACTGCAGCACCACCGACATCAAATTCTTCTAAATAAACACTAAATTATCCATTTAGTGCCTGTCTTTTCTGTAATTTTCTTGGTTAGTCCCTTTGATTTTGTAAATCATAAGCTATCCCTTGAACAAAGTTCACTGCTAACTTTTCTTTTTTCTTTTCATAATTGCTTTTTGGGTTTTGTCTGTAGCATGTGAAATGGGAAAATATGACCAGAAAGAAGAATATTTTAGTAAAAAACAATTAGATAAACTAAGGCAAGGACTAAGTTATTTTTATTTATTATCTAATGAAAAATACTTTAAATATAAAAAAATATATATTTTGAAAACTATGATCCATATCATATATGTTATCACTAGTCGGCTTCCCACGCTACACCGTGAGCCGAACTAAACATATTTATTTTAATTTGATAGCATATATTATATTATCGATTAATTAAAATATATTAAATTAAATATAAAAGATAAAATTTTATAGTTTTTAATCAAATTTTTATATTTAATTTTTCGTATGCTTTTAATAAATTTTATAGTTAAAAAAATACGATTCGTTATTTTTTATGTGTTTTTTCTTAAATAATAATCTAAATATAAAATTTTAAAAAATATCTTAATAATTTTTTCATATTATTGCATCGAAGAAATAAAAAATAAAAATAAAAATTTGTATTAAAATAACAAATTAATTTTTTTTATTCTTATTTAATACCGATGAGATTAAATTTTTAAAAACATTAAATTTTGTCTAGAGGAACTATCGCCAAGTCCGGGGAGGAGTTTATAAACAACCTCTAGATCTATAAGTGGAACCCTAAATTGAGTTTCTTGATCTCCCTGTCTAAAAATATTTTTTATTATTATTCAAATTCCTCATAATTCAATAATATATAAGATAAGATATAAAACTTCACACAAAGCAACAATCTATTTCGAACATCCGACACACCTTCCTTTTTTCATAATTTTTTTTGTGGTTATGCTCGATCAAGCATGTCATGGTTTTAGTCCGTACAAGAATTGTGGGTTTGCTTTTCATAGATGCATAAATAGTGAGATGAGATCTATTTTTTAGGAAGAAAAGTCTTTTTTGAGAAAGAGAAGAGAGAATGCGAGAGAAACTTTGTTGCAAAGAAGAGAAGGTACTAGGATTTTTCCCCCCTTCGTTATTTGTTTATTAAAATACCTCGATGTGTTTTCTTGGTTTTTCTTGAGTAATCTCATCTCAAGTTAGAAATAAAACTAATTTTATTCGAAACAAGAATAACTTTCCTAATGAGTGTGAATGATAAAGTTTAATTATTTCTAACAAATATGATTTTAAAATTCAATTTCTACACGGTAGTAAGAAATTTGATTGATTAGTGAGTACTCCTCAAGTAGTATTGAAGATATTTTCCCGTTATTAAAGGAAAACAAAAAAGAAAAGGTAAGACATAGAGCTAACCCAAATCGTACTACATTCTACATTAGGAATGTTTTTAAATTCAATTCCACAAGATTGGATCTAAATTTTGCCCATCGGAGAGTCAAGTTTAGACACGTAAATCAATAGACCTAACTATCTCCTACCAACCTTTTTTCTTTCTTTCTATGAAACCTATCTTAGTATCTCCTAGCAACTAAGCCTTAAAATATCCGAGAACTAATGAGCTTTAGCCTGATTTGATGCTCCAAATGTCAACTTGCAACATTCCATAAACCATTACATGATTTCATAATGTCCTAGGAATAAATTTTAGTCAACTTAAGGTGCATTGCTATAAATTGTAAGTCCGAAGAATAATTAGTTTCATGTAAGGTGACATTAGCCCCTTTGGGAGCATCAATTTAATGGAACAACCGCAAACAATGTATCCATAGATTGAATAGAACATTGAAAAATTGTTGCTCACCAAGTCATCGTCCACTACCACCATCTCCATCCTTAAAAATGTTAAACTTTAAGCGTGGTCTCATCGGTAATGATTAATTCAAAGATGCAAACATCATCAACTTTCATGTGAGTTGCTTAAGCTAATGGAGACCAGCCGTTTATCGGGCTTGCTCTTGAGTTTCCCTTAAATACTTCAAGGAAGAATTTAGAGCGCTAGTGTCTCCCATTTAGGAGTCGAAAGATAATACTACTAGTTCTACTATTTCTCATGTATTTATGCGTAAACCATTGGGGCAAGTCCCGCACGTATAGTTAGAAATATATAAACGAGATAAGGAATGTAAGAAACTTAATTTGAAGCAAAATTTTGACAATCCACTCGGGTTTCATTTGAGAGATTACCAAGCACAGCTACGGGATGTATGTGCGATTATTGGATAGTAAGCCAACAAAGAGGATTTTTAGATTTGAAAGCCACGACTCTACGAAGAGCACTAAGAACATCTTCTTTTCCTGCTACTTGAATCACGTTAGCCTCATTTTTAAGCTATTGCGGACACGGTGTTTTCTCCTCCACCACCCCGGCATTTAATTCAATTAAGTCATCTATCTAACAAAACAAATTACAAAATAATAGGAACTACATAAACGGAATGATCGGATAGCTTAGGCCATACGAAGTTAACTAAGTGCTAGTTGGATAAAAAGCCGATAAAGTTAAGGCTATCAACTTTAGATAACCAAACATAGTATCAACTAGAATTAGTTCGATCATAAATTCTCACAACTAATAGTATGATTTTGTTGCATAAGTAAACTAGCCACTATATTTGCTAGCCTTATTTTCCCAATTACACTACGACTCCTTGTTATCATCTTTCAAGGATCGATGATAAGTCTTAGTTTTGAACAACTAATTATCAAGGCCATGAAAGCTTCTCACTAGCTAAAGTAATTGGATTAACAACAATTCAAGTCGTAAGATATTTTTCCTTCAACTTTCTTCACCAATAGAACCAATCTAAAGCCATGATAAATGTGTACATTATAAGATAAAAGACACAAAAAAACTCATAGTATCTTTTGATGTTTAATTCATTTTCACCACGGAGCGTGGACTTTTGTGACCAACCATAGCTTTTTTAACGTTATTTTCGGTTTGTTTAGATTTATTTCCTCCGGATGAAGTCGCACCAAAAATAATTTACATTAACATATATATATCTCGTGTGTGTGTGTGTGTGTGTGTGTGTGTGTGTGTGTGTGTTGGGGATAAACTTCGGACACCACACAAGGATTACAAGAAGGAAATTTCTTGGAGAGGGAGGAGACACAAGAACACTTGATAAAAGACATTTTGTTTATTAGAAACTTAAATCACTTCACTCTACATAACATCAAATCACTTATAACTATATATAGAGATGCTAGACATTCCTTAATTATTACACACGTAATACTAAACATTATATTAATGACACATCACACATAACTAGGTTCATGAATGTAATGACTACATTCATACTTATTCATTCATACTTAGCCATAATTAAGTTTACTTTTCAATAATATGTATGTATGTATGTATGTATACATACATTCGGTAAACCCTTGCCAAGATAGTAATTCTAATAAATTGCCTTCCCTAAAAACAAGGTTAGACAAAATCTTATGGTTTTCATCTGCTAGGCCTACCGTATTCTTAAGTTCGGGCACATTGCTTGCTAGAAACAACTTGCACCCGTATTACATTACCATCTTTATCTTCCGGGATGATAGATTCAAAAACAAACTTGTCTCTAACACTCAATTTTTTTACCGGGTAGAACTCCAACCATCCGGAAGTAAGATAAATTTGACCATTATCCAGGAATTTGACATGTATAGGCCAAAACTTTCTATTCTCATCTCAAAGTTTCATCACTTCCTTCATTTTAATATTATGGGCTTTTAGCACTAATAAAGGAACATACTCGCAACCGATAACAATAGCAAGATAAGACTTCCTACGTGATTGTAACAAAAAAGGTCAAGAAATAACATGTCTAAATGTACAATGGCATTACTAACTAGGACACTCTAGAAGACGGTGAAAATACAAGTTAAACTCCTAACAAACGAACATAAATTTCGGAAGACATGGGGTATCTCGAAACTAAACGAGCCATTTGTATTAACCATTTAAAAGATCTCACATTCCGATATAATTGTTTTGAGCAAGAATATAAAGCAATTTTTACTCGGAACTATTTGATTTAGCCAAGAGATGTCTTTCTTTTAGCTTTCAATGTGTATAAACAAATTTATCTTTTGTTTTCTTTATTTTCCTCATAGTTCTCCATAAATCGGACTATAAATAGAGGAATTCACTTAGTTGCTTTTTGGATCTCCGGGAATGATTACCATCTTCCAATTGTTCCATATCTATAACAAGCACTAACAACTCGAGGCTAAGCCAAGTAACGTTACAACAACCTACAAACTAAACAATTTTTGGTTTGACAAACAAAACTAGCTAAAGCTAAGGGCTTTGGGCTAGCAAATGAGATTCTAGGACATTTATGGACTAAGTAAAAATCTAAAAAGACAATGTCTTCAAAAAGAAAAAGCTATTGGCTCCTTATTATCAATTTTCAAGGCCAAAATTTCCAAACCAAAGTGGTTTGTGCTTGAGGGAACTAACTATAGCTATAGATAAAGAGTACAACCAAAATAATGGGATTAACAACACCAAGTTTGTAAGACTCCTAATTTTTTTTTCAATTTTCCCGCCAATGGACACTATTTAAAAGCTTGATGATTAAATTTTAAGATAGGAGATGAGAGAAACTCACAACATATCGTTTGGTTTTAGTCATTTTAAAAATAAATGAGGCTTTTTTTTCTTACAACAACTAATATTGCTCTAGCCACTTGGCGTTCTCTAGGCTTTCCGACAAGGGTTTCACTTGGTTTAGATCCATTACTTCCACATGAAGTTGGTAGTATAAAACAAATTATAGTTAGAAAATAAAGAAAATTCATCACACAACTCACATACACTAAACAAAATTATTAGT